AGAAAAATATGGTTCCTACGAAGCACATTAACAAACTAAAGTAACAAAATAAAATAGGAGACGACTAAACCACCCATAAATATACTACAAGTAACAAATTGAGTTTGTTATGAATAGTCAAATATTGAGCGAATGAGCTATGTGTAATTAGTAACCATCTTGGCAGTTGAGAGTTTAGTAGTAGTTAATGAGAGAGTCTACTTGAGAGGGATAAAATATACGCTAGCTTATATTTCGGTATTATTTGGTATTTCAGCATATATTGATCACAATCTCGTAATCCCTAATACCAAATAACACTTGAAATTCAATCTCAATTTCATATTTATATTTGGTGATATCAAATATCAACAAATTAAATATAATATACAGTATATATCCAAATATCGAGATAAAAATTCCAACCCTACCCATGAGTCATAACTATGGAGTGGGCTGGTAGGCCTTCTTCCCATTGTTGTAACCCCAAATATGTGTCAGGGTAATTAATGAACTCAACCACATTGTGGTACTGTGCTGATGATGGACATGTTCTGGGGAGTGGGGACCTGATAGTAGTTCAAACTAGGGATGGCAATGGGTCGGGTTGGGGCGGGTTTTGTCAAACCCAAACCCATGGGTTTATCCGCCAAAAAAACCCGGGGTAAAACCCGCTGGGTTTGAAAAACTCAAACTCAACCCAACCCGCTGGGTATCCGCGGGTTCATGGGTACCCGTGGGTTTTTGTGGTAAAAAATTTACAATAACAAATTTCTTTCAAAATAAAAGTTTAACATTAATTTTCTCATACAAATTATTCATACAAAAAACACCAGTCTAGAGCATACAAGCAAACCGCAAATGATCAATACACATTGTTCAAAATTAAAGATAAACATCTATAAACAATAAGATTAATTAAAAGCTTCTTACTCGTCAACTAAGTTTCTTCACTCTCCACTTCATAATATCAACTTCATTCTAAACATTTAGAAACAACAAATTATATATGTCTCCACAAACATAAAGAATATTAATTGTTTAAAGAAGATATATTATTTAGAGTATTAAATATACCGGGAAAGTAATTATATGTGTGTGGGCGTGTACCCATGGGGCGGGTTTACCTAAACCCAAACCCGACCCGGTGAATAGTGTAGCGGGTTTAAACCCAAACCCGGCCCAAAACCCGTCAACATGGATTTTACCCATGTTGACCGGGTTGGGTCGGGTGGGTACCCGTGGGTTCGGGTCTTGTTGCCATCCCTAGTTCAAACTTAAGAGGTAAAACTGAAGGCAATCACAAAAATACGCAAAAATTAGTGGAGATGCAGGGGATCGAACCCTGTACCTCCCGCATGCAAAGCGGGCGCTCTACCATTTGAGCTACATCCCCATTTGTTCGACAGTTACTCTCTTATTATAGCTCCAATATATTTCAGTCCCCAATTGATAAGTTTCAGATGACGCTACCACCTTGAATAACTTAATAATATACCGATTTCCTCTTGCAATAGTATGAAAATGGAACTATAGTTATATCATGTCATACGGACTCTAATACCAAAAAATAATAATAAACAGTACTTATTGTCGGTGATAAATTAACAAGCTTATGGTTAAACTAAATCGATAATGCGCAGTTAGAAGGGAAGGAAATAGAAGAATATATGTATACAGTATATTGATAGTCAAGGTTAAGCATGAGATCATAAGCACCCAATTTGGTTTCAGATCAAATACAAACTCATAATTCACTCCTTTCTGCTGTGTTTAGGAAGGGCGGAAAGGTAGGGGACGTTTTCAAGCGTGAGAACAGTAAGGGAGGGAGAAAAATCCGAAAGAAAGTTTAATATATATATATTTTTTTTTTTTTACAAAAGGCACTGGATGACCTTTTGCATACTTGAAATCAGAACATTTTCTGTTTTTTGTTTAATTTACTTTTGAACACTTCACTCGAACTGAACCGCTAAATAATAGGTATTCACAGAGTAGACAGTAAATCTAGGATCAGGGTTGACAATTAAAATTGAACCCACTATACTGCATTTCCAGGCTGCGATTACACTTGGTCGTAGTTTGGTGTTGTATTTTAGCGAGTCACTCATCTTAAACTTGCCATGCACGGTACCACATTTTGAAAATTTTCTAATCAAGGCATCTCTCCCTCGTGACCAAGAGCGAAGGGAACATTGCCTTCCCTATGTTGTCCCCATGTGGTGAACATGATGGTCGAATTAATTGCCCGAGCACCACTTCCCCACCTGCACTCCACGCCTCAACGACAGACGAGTTGCCACACATATCGGGTGCAAACGAGAGCCGAGGTCTAGTGACTCGCTTAAAGGCACACTATCTCCTCTCCATACAAGTCCATGAGGAGGAGAAGTTTTTGGGGGATGGAAGGTAGTGAAAGATGATCGGGAGGCTAGAAAGCTATCCGAACCCCAAATTGTTAGAATATGACTTGAATTTGATTTGGGTTTGTTTTGTGTTTTGGGCCTATTTTGTCTGGGTTTGTGTTTGGGCTTTGTTTGACCTTTTCCTTGTATGTTTGGGAAAAGGTGTTTGGTTTTTTGTTTGGGATTAGGAGAAGAGTTCTATAAATACTCTTCATCACCCTAGTCTGTAGTAAGGTCAGTCAGGTTAGTTTGTTTGGTTTGTCCGTTTGGAATTTGGTTTGTAACCTGTACTCTCCTCAAAATTAGTGAAATTTGTCCCCCTGCCCGTGGATTAGCTAGCACACATTGTGTTAGTGAACCACGTTAAATTTGTGTTCGGTCGTGTTGGTTTGGATTATCGATTGCCACGCTTCTGTTCTGACAAGTGGTATCAGAGCCTGGTTGATCGGCTGGGCAATTGGCATGGGATTTTGGTGACTGCTGCAGTATCAGGAGAGAGTTGCATCATTTGGTTTGTCGAGAAGAAAATTTGGAATTTGCGAACGGAGAGCTAGTTGGCGGATCAATTGGAATTTGGAAGCAATTACTTGAATTTATGGTGTTCGGTAATAGCTTGTGGTTTGGGGAGAATTCTGTTTGTTGCCCTTGGTGGTGATTAGGGTTTTTGATCACCAAGGATGTTTGTTCAGGATTTAAAGATTGAGAAGTCGATTTGGATTTGCAGGTTTGAAGTTGAAAGTAAATCTGATGTTGGTGTTATCGATGGAAATAACACCAAGTTGGTTATGCATGGCAAGTCCGAACATGGGTTGGACTTGGTGCATGTTTTGATTTGTTGATCGCCCTTAGGGGCATCTGGAGACAGGGGAGATTCTGGTACAACTGATTTGGAGGAGTTTGGTACTTCTGGCAATTTTTATTGCATTTGAGTTTGGCGATATACATCGCATTTGAGTCTGGTGATATGGATCACATTTGGATACGTCTGGCAATTTTGATTGCATCTGAGTTTGGCGATTTTCATCGCGTTTGAGTCTGGTGATTTCGATCACATCTGGTACATCTGGCAACTTTGGTTGCGTCTGGTACATCTGCCAACTACTTTAGTTGCGTCTGGTACATATGGTATTTGACAGAGAATTCAAGTCAAGGTGGAGATTGTTAGAATATGACTTGAATTTGATTTGGATTTGTTTTGTGTTTTGGGCCTATTTTGTCTGGGTTTGTGTTTGGGCTTTGTTTGACCTTTTCCTTGTATGTTTGGGAAAAGGTGTTTGGTGTTTTTGTTTGGGATTAGGAGAAGAGTTCTATAAATACTCTTCATCACCCTAGTCTGTAGTAAGGTCAGTCAGGTTAGTTTGTTTGGTTTGTCCGTTTGGAATTTGGTTTGTAACCTGTACTCTCCTCAAAATTAGTGAAATTTGTCCCCCTGCCCGTGGATTAGCTAGCAACATTGTGTTAGTGAACCACGTTAAATTTGTGTTCGTTCGTGTTGGTTTGGATTATCGATTGCCACGCTTCTGTTCTGACACAAACACATCCTCAAATGGCACTCCAGACCGAGAGAAGAGTCTTTCGATGGCTCAACTCAAACGCTGTGACCAGTTGCCTCTCACGTGAGAAGCTCAATTTTTCAAAAGAAAAATTCAAATTGGCGCACCTTTTACAAAACATTTTGGAGTCCTAACTTGGGGAATCCTACACACATGTCCTAACCTCAATAGTAAACATTATCGACACAACCGAGAGTAAATCAAAGTAAAGCCACTCATTATCAATAATTCTCATGGCACCACTCTATTCCCTCGAATGCACACCATCATAATCGTCAAACAATTCAGAGCACACTAAGCAAGATCAAACTAGGGACAATTGTGATTGGAACCCTTCGAATTTTCACATTCAAACAACAATCTATATTCCAAAACACATCTCAATATTGGTCATTAATCATTCATTCATGCACAAGTGGTTGGAGCCCTCAAATTGTAGAAATTTGGCAATCACAAGGCTCCAACAAATTCAAATAGGCCATTCACACTCATTATTCACACGCCAATTACAAATATATGTACACCCCACACTCATTGTGTATAATGCGGTTTGGTCCTTGGACCAATAAATTTATAATTAGTGAAGAAAAATTGATCGAATTGACATATGGACCAAACAAATGAGACTAAATAATAATGGTCTGATCTTGATTCTAAGACATCTTTCACTAATAATGGTTCTCGATTCTTATGAGTTCGGTGCATTCCAGACCATACTAAACAGTTGCACATCCCTAATAACGAATAAGCCAAAGATAATATATTTTTTACTTAAAACCATAATTTAGTAGTGATATAATAGTTTTATAAGAAACATTAAATATGTATATATTTTTTAATAATCATAACTATCTGCTTCTAAAATAAAGGACTAATATTTTTCCTAAAACAGTTAACCGCTCCTTGGGAAACTTGTTGCTCTGCTTGGTGGGGGGAAATGTCAAAATCTGGGATTTGAAGCTGTGCCAAGCAGAGTTCGCACACAATCATGTAGTGAATCGGAGCACCGGTTTCAGCTCGTTTCCGTGTGGTTTATGCGCGTACCCCGCGCAGGCTGCTTGATATGATGGCACTACCTGATAAGACTCGCACTCACTGCAAAGCTGCCGAATTTGCTAATACCTTGCAGGAAGTGCACCAGATGGTTCGGGCAAACTTGGAAGCGGCTGCGGGCAAGTACAAGAAGACAGTCGACAAGAAACGACGACATGTAGAGTTCAACGTGGGCGATTTTGTGTGGGTTTTCCTCACCAAGGACAAGGATTGCTTCTCTGTTGGGGGCTATAACAAGCTGTCGGCCAGGAAGATCGGGCCATGGAAATAATCGAGAAGATCAAGCTTCCCAACCATCTGCGCACGTCGGATGTCTTCAATGTTAAACATCTGGTTCCACTTGCTGGTGATGATTCGGATCGGATGACAACAATTCGAGGGCGAATTCTGTTCACCAAGGGGAAGATGATGCAGTGACGGATGTGGAGAATCAGTTCGTGGAGAGCCGAGACAAGATGAAACAAAGGTGGCAATTGGATCGGATTCGTGGATTCGTGGATTGGATTGGTGGATCCATGGATCAAATGGATTGGATCCAATGGATTGGTGGATTCATGGATTGTATCAAATGGATTGGTGGATTGATTCTATACTTATACATATACTTTTTATACAAATTCTTTTATGGTATAACTTGAACTTTGTACCTTTATGTGATGGTACAACTTCAAGTTATAAAGTTGTACCATAACATAATGATACAAATTGCTTTATGGTACAACCTAAACTTATACATTTAATGTTATGGTACAACTTTGAGTTGTACATCAAAACACCAATGCTATATAGCATAGTAGAAGTGCTCTAATTTTTCAGGAATCGAAGTTTTGCAGAGCACGTAGCTCTTTTTCCAAGTTCGAGTCTTTGTGAATCGATCTTGATGCTATTGATCTAGTAATTCCCAAAATCAATAGATTAGTGACGATTGCTCGTTTGGTATCCAGCGGGATTAACGAATTTGCAATTTTATCCAGCTATCCAAGCCCCTTCCTTCCTTTTCCCTAAATAAAAATCAATCGATTCACTTGTTCGCATACATCCCACTGTCCATGTGGAAGAAAGGGGAAGATTGGGGATTTGGGATTTGCATATGGCAACGATCTACGACAATGATGTCGATCAGGTAGTGCAGCGACGACAACGATGAGTTTGGCGGAGACCTAGATGATGCGTCGCGGTCAATGTAGAGCAAGGCAGATAGATCTGAGGGAGGAAGGGAAGTAGAGGAGATCGATTGAAAATCTCACTTCGATGGCGAGCTCAACTTCCACGAATACAGACAGAGATTGACTGGATTTTGGTGATGGTTAGTGGGTGTGAAATTCAAAAGAGATGGTGGGTGTGATATTCAGAAGAGATGGATTCGGAAGGAGATTTGATGAAAAAGAACAGAGAGATGGACTGATCTATTACCAGACGTCGCGATGTAAAGTATTTTGTCCTCGACAGAAGTGCACTGGGGCACATTTTATTAGAAAATTAGAATAGTAAAAAAATATTATGATTATAATTTTTTCACAATGTAAATTGTACACGACGGTATTTTAATTTAGCGAATGCATTAATAAAAGAGTCAACATCCATACCAATAGTATACACTGTTTCAAATAAAGTGCTTGAGCAATCGACTAGAAATTCGTCGCTCATTTTGTTGCACAAATCAATTTTCACATGTTTCATTGTTGAAAAGGTTCTCTTCGCATTAGCTGTTGAAACGAGCAGCATCAACACTAGGCAAATCAATCTACTAATCAATTTGCATTGTGTTTCCATCCCTATATCCACCAGCTGCTCTAGTAAATTTTCAAGGTAACAAACCTCATATATGTTTTAGTCTTTTACGTTTTATACTTTTTGAATTTTTAGGTTTCATTGTTGTTTTAGACGAATAACCTTTGGGGTTAGAATTTATAAGCTAAATTTAGAGTAGTGATTTTGAATATGTTCATCTGAATCATTTTTCTAATTATACACATTCTTATTTTAAAATAACAACGACCCGAATATCTAAAATCGAAAAATTCATAAGGTCTATACTAACTATGGATCCAGAGGAGGGCTGGGTCGGAGGAAGCTGGTCATGGAGATGTTTAGCGACGGTGGTAGCCATGTAAAGTATTTTGTCCTTGACAAATCTCATCAAAGTGGAGATTATTCTCTGCCGGTTGAATTTCTGAGTTGATTAGGAGGCTAGATCACGAGCTCATTATTCTCTTCCTTGTGATTGAATTATTATTCTAAATATCATCTCCGATCACCTCTAAATGTACGTTGTATGTAAATCAATCGATTTATGAATGAAGTCTTAATCTTTGTCAAAAAAATTAAACTCGAGAGAGGTGGTCTGTTCATTATTGCGTGATAACTGGGATTAGTACTTTTCCTGGTTTTGTTTTGACAGCTAGCATTACAGCAACATAATTTCTAATAGGTTTAGAGTTTGACAGCAACTTTGCAATGGTACATAATAAAATGAAATAGAAGTCAATTCGATGGACACAGGCCACAAAAACTGAGCCATTAAATGATATTTTCATTCATGACAAAAACATGCATTTTTCTAATTTTCTTCCTCTCCTACTGAATATTATGTATGCTTTGACCGGTTCCATAGCAACGACGAATATTCCATGCTTCCTCCGATTGTCCTGAAAACCAAACTGCAAATGCCAAGTTTCACCCAATTTTTTATTCTTGGACAGTTTGGTACATGAATTAGAATGTTTTTTTCCGTAAGCAGTTTGTTTACAGTACATAAGCGGTAAAATCGATGAATGAGTGAAATTAATTAATTGTTTATGTGGTGTGGGACAAATATTATACACCACATCCATTGTGGTGTCAAGTTTAGGATTACAAGATATTGATTCGAGTGTCAGATAGTATATATTCGTTATCTTACTCTCTTTTTTTTTTTTAACAAAGGGGATTTACTTGTATTTACTCTAAATGTTCGGTTACAAGAAGAGCAAACAAAAAAGCTGGATCCAAAACAGAGGAGTCATCCGCAACAAGATGAAGCAAATTATGCTTGAGAGGTAAACATCAGAGAGCAAAGCACAAAGTGAAACAAACCAATATGGGAGAGGATTGAGGAAAGAACCCACAAAGGGAACAGGGAAAGGCCACAAAGGGCTTGAAAGGAAAGGAGGAAGACAACCCACAAGAAACTGAAACAAGGAGCGGGAAAGCAAAGGGAAGGGGAGGCTTGGGTCACCGCCGAACATCTAGAGGTGTCGGCGGCAGCCCTGAAGAAAAAGGAAGTTGAGTGTTAGTGAGAAGGGAGAGCGAATTTGAAATAGAGAGAGAAGGGGTTTCTTGTCTCTAGGTTGGATTACTATCCTATTCTAATTAGTTTGGATTTTATTCATACCTTTTTTTAGCTTTGAATAGTAAATCAAAATCATATTATAATCATTTGAGTTTCAAGTATATGTTATTATTCAATGATATACAACTGAATCGCTAAAGGTCGCCCTTAAAATTGCTAACAATTGCCCTAACTCTAATAATAAATTACTTATATACCCCCAATGAAATTTCAAAATTTAAATAACCAAACAATCCTAACTCCTTAAACCCTACCCCTCGTCTGCCGTCTTCCCGAATCCCTCCCAGCGCACCAATTTGCTGACGACCAGTCCACCGGTGCCTTTCCCGCCGTCGTCGTAGCCCGTTCCCGACCAAAATTTCAAAAAAAAAAACTCTCAACCTAAGGCAAGTTGAGGTTCCACCATGGACCATCCGCAAATGAGTTGCGATTCCACCATGGGTCAACCGCATGCCACTTGCGGTTGCACCATGGACCAATCGCAAGCCACTTACGGTTGTACCATGGACCAACCGCAAGTGAGTTGCGGTTCCACCATGGGACAACCGCAGGTCACTTGCGGTTGTACCATGGACCAATCGCAGGTAAGTTGCGGTTAGCCCATGGTGCAACCGCAAGTGATCTTCAATTCCCTTTTTTATTGTTTTTATTTATTTTTGGAGTGAACTTTACCTCGTCGGAGTCTCTACTCATGATTTAGACGTCCTATCGATGATTTCGGCTTCAGAATGACGATGATGGACGCTTTCTCTCTTGGATAATGTTTTTTTTTCTTTGCTTAATCTAAGTGATGTTTGTTTGCTAAAGGGAAAATAAAGAAGCTAAAGGGTTAAAAGTGTAACTTTCCTGTTTTTTAGGGCGATTTTTAACAATTTTAAAGGCGACGTTTAGCAACTCCCATAATAGTTATTCTGTTTATCGGCCCATCTAATATGTTAGTATTTCGTAATATATTTAAACAAGTGGAAAGGTTACAACGACGGGTCCCTAATCTTAACAATAAAATATGAATCATTACGATGTTATATATATTAAGGAAGCTATATAGTTATTTCTTGTCAATCTTTGGATGCCAACTAGTGATGGCAATTTCAACCTGCCTGCGGGTATTACCCGACCTAATCCGCGATGGGGCGGGTATTACCCGACCCGCAGTAGCGTGGGGCGGGGCATGGGTATTTACTTCCAACCCGCCTGCCCCGCCCCGCCCCATTCTATACTCATTTTATCTCAAGTTCTTACAATATCTATACATATTTATCCTATTTTGACTTTTCTTCAACTAGTTAGAGTCGACCTTTCAACTTGTTAGACTCAATTATCCATTCTATTATCAATATTTTTCATTCTTAAAGTGTTTTTCCCTACGTTTTATTGTAAAAAGTAAAATTTACTTGTATTTTTTTAACAACATGTAAGAGTGGGTCGACCCGCCCCGCCCCATACCCACACGGGTTTTATCCGCCCCGACCCGTAGTAGCGTGGGGCGGGGCATGGGAATGGAGGTACCCGCCCCGCCCCATTGCCATCACTAATGCCAACGAATATATAAACCATGTAGAACACCATATAATGCAATCTGACAACTTTATAGCATAAAGAAAACAAAGAATCATACAGATCACGAGTCAAAATCTTGGTATCTCAACGAACCAAAAGGTCATGATCCTGAAAACTAGTTGCAGTACTAACTAACATCCTCTAACTCAGGCCACTAAGCTAAGGACTTATTTGACACAACTTTAAACTCTTGCTTCGGGAAAAATCCACCCCTGAACTGAAGCCCATTAAACAAATCAAACTTCAGTTCACTACATCCTAGCATCACCTTCCCTTTAGAAATGTTATAGACACCAAGCTTGGTTCTTAGGGGTTGTTTGGTTTTGGTTTTGGTGATTGTTTGATGGGGATAGTTACAATGCATGTATTGTTCACAATGC